ATGAAACCAGAAAAAAAATAAATTAAACCCAAGTCCATACAAGAAAACAATAATAAAAGAGCAAAAAATCAATGGAATAGAAAATGGATAAGCATTAGGAAAAACAGAATTGAGCCAAAGACTTGTTCTTTGAAAAGATCAATAGCTAGTATGGTCAAGAAAAAGAAAACGTATATTCTCAGTACCAGGAATAAAAAATGCATCACTATAAATCCCATATATAGATATGTAAATATGATAATAAGGGAATATTAGGAACTTCACAAAACAACTTACATTAAATGGAAAAGTCCCTTTAAAAAGCATAAATTATCAAAACTACATACAAATATAGAAAATCTAGATAGTTCTACATTTAAATAAAGAAATTAAATTTTTTTAAGAAATTAAATTTCTAATTTAAAATATTCCAAACGAGAAAACTCTAGGTCCAGATGGCTTTACTGATAATTCTATCTAACATTTAAAAACAAACAAAAACCCAATCTTGCATAAATTATTTCAGGAGAGAAAACACTTTACAACTCATTTTATGATGTAGTTTTATTCTGATAGAAAAAACAAAGTCACTGTAAGAAAGAAAAACTACAAACCTCTTATCACTCACCAACATAGATGTAAAAATCCTCAACAAAGTACTAGTGAATCAAATCTGGCACTATGTAAAATGGATATAATATGTCATGACCATGTGAGGTTTATACCAAGAAGGCAAAGTTTATTCAACATCCGAAAATCTATTAGTGTAATCTGTCACGTTAACAGAATAAAGAAGAAAAACCACAATCATCTCAATAGATGTAGAAAAAACATTTGACAAAATTCAACACTCATTCATTATAAAAAGTTTCAGCAAAATAGGAATAGAAGAGAGGCTTAAACTGATAGCAGGCATCTACCAAACAAATCTAATTACCATCACACTTCATGGCAAGAGACTGATTTCCCCTAAGTTTAGGAACAAGGCAAGGTTATAGCTCTCATCACATCATTTGTCATCAGAGAAATATAAATTAAAATCACAGTGAGAGTCCACAAAACACTCCTTAGAAGAGGCAAACCTAAATGGACTGACAAAATTAAGCGTTGGCGAGGATATGGAACAACTAGACTTCTCATAATCACTTTGGAAACATTTGGCAATATCTTATAAAGTTGAACATTCAGTTACCATATGACCCAGCAACTACACTCCCAGGTATTCATCCCCGAGGAATGAAAATACTTCCACAAGAAGACTTGCACATAAATGTTCATAATATCTTCATTCATAATAGCCAAAAAATGAAAATAATTCAAACGTTCAACAGTAACAGGTAAATAAATAAATAGTGTTTATTTATACATACTACTCGGCAATGAAAAGTTCCAAACTACTGAAACAACATGGATAAATCTGAGAAAATAATTTGCTGAAAGAAGCCAGACATAAAAGGGTACATATTATTTGATTCCATATGAAGTTTTAGAACAGTCAAAACTAACCTACAGTAATAGAAACCAGAACCCAGAGCAGTGGTTGCCTAGGACGGGGGCAGCGGATGGGGAAGGAGCAGATCAGGTGCTGTGGTTATAGGGGGGTATACATTGGTTAAAACTCATCAAACTGATGAATTTTTACTATATGTATTGTAGTTTTTATTATATGTAAATCAAATTGAACTTCAAAAAGGTGGTTTTTTTTTTAAAGTAGCTGTTTCTAGGGAACAGATTCAAGGCAAGAGGCAGGTTAGTAAGCTCATCAAACACCTTTCTGTTTTATTCAATTCTAAAACCACATGCATGTATTACTTTATTATTCTTTTTACTTTATTTGTATCATCATAAATAGAGAATGTAAGAGTTAATCTGGGACATACAGCATGATATGTACCCTTAAGACAGAATTGACTTAAATTTCCCAGATCAACACTGCTAACAAAAATACAAAGCAACAGCGGTGATCATTTTTTAATGTACAGAAATATCGAATCACTGTGTTGTGCACCAGGAACTAACACAGTGCTGTAGGTCAATTATAATTCAAAAACAAACAAACTCATAGAAAAAGAGAACAGATTTGTGGTTACCAGAGGCAGGAGGTGCAGGGAGAGGAACTGGATAAACTTCTACTTATAAGATAAATAAGTACAGGGATGTAACATACCACCTGATTAATATAATTAACAATGTTGTATGTGAAATATAATTAACAATGTTATATATGAAAGTCGTTAAGAGTGTAAATCCTAAGAGCTCTCATCACAAGGAAAAACACTTTTTACTTTGTATCTATATAAGATGATGGATGCTCACTAAACTTACTGTGGTAATCATTTCATGACATAGGTAACTCAAATCTTTATGCTGTACACCTTAAACTTATACAGGGCTGTATGTCAGTTATATCTCAATAAAACTGGAAGGAAGAAAATACAAAGCAACAGAATGTAACAGTCAAGAGCACATATGTTAAAATCCTCACCTCATGGACAAATAATATTTAACTTCTCTGCAATTTAATTTCTTCATCTGTAAGATGATGGTAATGATAAAAAATCTACCTTACAGGGTTACTGTAAGTACGAACTATAATAAAGTATCTGGCACATTGGAAATAGCAAAAATATTAGTTCCCTTCCCCTTTCTCTGTGTTACCTAGCTACTTAACATACAAATGCTATTTATTCTATTTACCACAGTATTTCCAAGCATAATCTCTTATTTTATGTTAGCTCTTGCTCAAAATGCCTCTAGTATTTGTGTTAGTTGTTTATCCCTGGCGCTGTCTTTAAAATTACTCATTTTAGCTGATAAACTTGACAAAGGTTCTCCACACTCCATGACCACAAACACACACAAAGAATGTCTTTGCCATTTACGTATAAAACCTAAGTAATACTTCACCTAACACTGGAAATGTTTCCAAAGTTTTAAAATAACAAAAACTAACTCATCAAATTAAATACCATGATCATTCTTTTTAAATAATGAACAATTCCTAATTTGTCTTAAAGGTGCAAGGTAGCAGCTATAAAGTAAACAAGGACTACAATTTACAATCTCTTCTCAGGGTTAATTATTCCTAATTTATTAAAATATTCACTCAGCTCTGCCAACTGTTCTTCCCTACCCATCTCTGTCTCTTTCTTTCCATTGCCTCATACACAATTAGCAAACATTTATTAGGTACCTCAAATTTGCCAGCACTGCTCCAGGTATTGGGGAGATTATGATGAGCGAAAAAAACAGACATAATTTCAGGCCTCAAAGGATTTACAGTCCAGTGGTGGGAAACAGAAAGTAACTGGTATTAATCAAGGAAACAAATGAATGTAAAATTCCATCTGATTATTACTAACAAGTGACGTATAATGAGCATTTACTATCTATCAGGCAGGGACTAAGCACTGTAAATGTAATAGCTCACTTAACCCCCCCACTAACCTTAGCCTCATTTGACAGAAGAGGAAAGGCAAAGTTTAATATCTTGCCTAAAGTTACACAGATAATAGGTCAACAAATAGGAATTAGGGCTTCAGCCGAGTATGGAAAGTCAAGGAAGGGTTCTCTGAGGAAGTAACTGGGTGGAGACTTGAAGATTACTATTAGGCAGCAAGGGGTGAATGAAGAACCACTCAGGCAGTAGACAGAGAGGTTAAAGAATATTCAAAGGCCCTGCGGAAGGCAAGCGTATGAAATCAGGAATTTAAATTTTTTAAAAAGGCTGGAGAGGAGGAAAGAACAGGGTGGGAACATGCTATGAATGGTAGGAGGAGGATTCTGCTGGGCTGAAGTGAGCAGGCCAGAAACAATAGCGCCAGTGTGGATGGAGAGAAGTAGCTGGACTTGAGATATACTTGAAGGTGAAACACACCAGATTTGGGTAGGAACTGCACATCCAGGGTAACACAGTTTGTAGGAAAAATGATTCCACAATTTCTGGCTAGCATAATTTAATGAACAATGGTGCCAGGAAACAGCAGAGGCCCAAACTTTAAAAGATGATGGATTTGCTTTGACAAGTGTTGAATTTAAAATGTTTTCGAGATATCAAGTACGGAAGCAGATTACAGAGGTTTGTCTTTCGCAGTAAAGGTGGCTCCGGAATAAGATATTTTGTAAGCAACTGACATATAAATGGTAATGAGATTGTCTTTGGAAAGGAGGCCTACGGCAGTCTTGAGTCAACAAAATTTACAGACAGGCTTGCACAGAAGACGGGGAAAGACTAGCCAAGTTGAGCCACAGAAATCAAGAGAGAGTGTTACCAATTAAAACGCAATGCTCAAGAGTCAAACGCTGCTGAGAACTGTAGTAGATTTACATTTCAAAAGCATCAGTCGGATTTAGCGACCTGGAGGCACTGCTAACTTCAGTTAGGGTTACTCCTATAGTGATCAGGGGAGTGACCGATTGGAGTCATTAAAGGGTTACTGGAAGGAGAGGAAAATAACTGAGAAGAGACTCTGGAGAAGTTTCGCTGCGGATGGGGGAAGGGAAAGAGAGAGTGGCCGTGGGAGGGAGACAGGCCAGAGTCAACAGCTTATTTTGTTTCACTTCGTTAGGAAGAAAAAACGTTAACGCATTTAAAAGACCATGGAATAATCCCTAAAGGAGAGAGTGATGGTTCTAGAGTCACCGGCAGGTCCTCCCCAGCCCCCGCTATCTCCTCCCGTGTTCTCGCCCTCTTCTCCACCTTGCACAGGCCCAGGCCCCACAGCCACCCTGGCCCGCCTGCCCGGCTAGCAGGAGGATCCTCACCGCAATGGCCCCCTCGCTCAGGTGGCCCACCATGGTTCCGCCGCGACAACTCCCGCGCTCCGACGCCCCCGCAGCCCTGGCTTCACTCCCGTGGCCCCGCGCGCTGCAAAACGATTGGCCCGAACAGCTGCGTGCACCGCTCCCGCCTCCCGACGTGAGCACGGCCTGGGGGCGGGTCTAGGCGCCGAGCCGCCACCGCATTGGCCGAGGCGCGGCGGGCGGCTCACGTGACCCACGGGAACCCGGGTCCCGGGCCTAGTCGTGGGATGGCGGGTTCTCGGGGTGGGGTGCTAAGCTGCCGGACGCGCGAAAGGTGACGCAGACGCCGCGAAGGGCAAAGTGGATGAGTTCCGGCAGCTTTATGAGAGGGCTCGGGAACGTACCCGGCTCGGCCTTTGGCCGTCGGACGGCTGGTAGTCCAGAGGAATGTTAGAGCTGTTTTTTGATAACTGCTGTTAAATGTAGTCAAAGCAGTGGCTTGATTCCTTCAGTAGCCCAGTGCTGAGCTCCCGCAGGTGCCAGACCCTGAACTTGGCACAGTGGGAGTCTCTGAAGGTAAAAACGACCCGATCCCTATCCTCTGAAGAGAACACAGTCTGTCGAGGGAGCTTCTGCTGTGAGTAGCCCTAACTCAAGGTACACTTGGTCTGGGCCCCAGGAGAAACACAAAGTGGGTTGCAGTCACAGGTGGAAAAATCCTGGGAAGGTTTCCCGCAGGAAGTGCCGTTTAAACTGAGTCTTGTGGGGAGAGTATAGCTCAGTAGTAGAGCGCATGCCTGGCATGCGTGAGGTCCTGGATTCAATCCTTAGTACCTTCGCGAAAAATATAAATATAACAAACCTAATTGCCAACCCCCACCAAAAAAAAAATTTTTTTTTTAATAAATAAACTGAGCCTTGAAGGATGTATGGAAATTTGCCAGGTGGACTCCATGTGAGGGTGGTGATGCCCCAGGAAGAATGAATAGCCTATGCAAAAACTAGAGAGGTGAATAGCGTGGCAAGCTGGGGATGGCTTTGAGTAGCTCAGGATGGTGGGATACAGAGGAAGAAGTGAGCCTTAATACTAGAAAGTAAGCCAAGGGTCGAATAATGAGCTTTTATATAAATGCTAGGAGGAGCATTGATGAATTTAAGGTGAAGGACTAACATCTGTCTCGGTGTGGAGGATGGATTGCATTTGGGGTGGGAAAGGAGGGGATGTGAGGCCATGGAGACTAGTTATGACACTCTAGAGAGAATGCCAGACAGGAAATGGTAAAGGCCTGATCTAAGGAATAACCTGGGGATTGAAAAGAAAACAAATTGAACTGTGTAAGAAATAGAAATATTTGCTATCTTAATAGTTGCTAGGGAGAGTGAGAAAAAAATCTGGGATGTGTCTCAGGTTTCTGATCTCACCATCAAGGGTAGATGGAGGTCTAAGAGGGCAGAGATGGTGACCAATGTGATTCATCATTGTATAACCATTTCCTCATGTGATGCCTGGAATAAAGTCAGTTTTCAATAACTATTTCTTAATGGAGGAATGTTTGAGTGAATTGGTGCAAGAGTATAAACAACTATAGGAAAAGACCATAAGAATTGATTTTGTTACTTCACACTTGCTTGAATGAAATCTTGATTTTTTAGAGTTGTGCTTTTGTAGAAATCTGAATTCCTTGTTTTCTTACTCATTTTCTAGATCTGAAGTAGCATGGATCTGCCTGTGGAGGAATGGACATCACACATACTTCAGAAGTGGTCTTTGCTCCCCAAGTCCATTCAGGTCACAATTTCTACAGCAGAGACTTTGAGCGATATCTTTCTTCACTCATCTTCGCTTCTTCAGTAAGTGAATGGAAGCTTTAACCAGGGAAATTTTGGTCTGGAAGATGCACTCTCTTGTCATTTGCCCCCAGGTTATATCTCTTTTTGGGGAAAGATTAACTTCAGACTTTTAGATTTTGGGACATTCAATAGTTCTTTCTGTTTTCACAGTTCTTTCTAACCTACTATTATAGATCAGATTGAGATGCTATTTAGCTTTTTCAGTGTCAATATTATGTTTCAATAATCAGTGCCTTGCTGTCATCACTAGGCTGTGAACCTTGCCATATCCCAAAGGATACAGTAGAGATTTACTAGGTGCACGTAGAAATTCATAAGTGTTCATATTGGAAGGAACCTTACAGGTCATATAGTCTAACCCAGTTATTTTTCAAACTCTCTTGACTGCACTACTCAGTAAGAAATGTATTTTACATCACAATCTCGTACACATATATGTATATAAAAAACTGAAACAGGAGTTTCCCAAAACTTTGTTCAGTGAATTTTTTTGAACTTATTTTGTGCCAGCCACTGTGCTAGATGCTTAGTAAATAAAAAACACACCATTAAAATAAAAAAGTAGACAAAGATCCTCATCTTTTAGGAGCTTAATTCTAGCAAGGAGGAACACAATAAACATAAATAAGTAAAGTATGTAATGTATTCAAGGTGACAAGTACAGTAGAAAAAAGGAAAAACTGAACAGCGTAGGGGAAATAATACTGGGAGGGGAATGCAGGTTGTAGTATTAAATAGTGTGGTCTGATGTGCCTCATGAGAGAGTGGAAGTGGAGCAAAGTCTTGGAGATACAGGAGTTAACAAAGCAGATACCTTAGAGAAGAGCGTTCCTGGCCGAGATCCCAAGGTGGGAGTGTGTCTGGGATGTTTGAGCAACAGCGCACTGGGTGAACAGCTAGTGGTGGATGAACAGAGTAAGCCAAGGGAGAGTAGTAGGAAATAACGTCAGGGAGGCAGTGGGACATGCGTGGGAGCTGGATAAGAGCAGGTGGCACAAATCACGTTGGCCCTTTTTTAGTTCCTTGTCTTTCTTTTTACCCTGCATAGGAAGTGATTGCAGGGTGTGGTAGGCAGAATTCTAAAGATGACCCCCCCCAGCATTCCTGTCCCCTGGTTATTCAGTCTAACATTAACTTACGCACTGCTGGGAAGGGATTTGGCCAATAAAAGTCCAAGGCTAGTCAATTTGAGGTACAGTTACTGGATAGGCATAACCCAATCAGGTGAGACTTTTGAAAGCAGAGCTTTTTTTCCAGCTGGGAACAGAAAGGGAAATCAGAGAGATTCAAAGCAGAAGATTTGAATGTGGTTTGGCTGGCTTTGATGATGGAGCCACATGACACAGGACAGGAATGCAGACAGCCTCTGGAAGCTGAGAGTGCTTCCTGGCTAACAGCCAGCAAGGAAATGGGGACCTCAGACCTGCAATTGCAAGGAAATGACTTCTGCCAGCATCCTGAAGGCGTTTAGACTCAGATTCTTTCGCAGATCCTCCATATAAAAGGTCACTTGATTTCAGCCTTGTGAGACCCTAAGCAGAGAGCCTAGGAAAGCCCACCTGGACTTCTGATCTACAGAACTGTGAGGATAATAAATGAAAATTGCTTTAACCTGCTGAATTTGAGGTAACTGCTACACAATAGTAGAAAACTAACGGAGTCTTGAGATAAGACTGATGTGATCTGATTGTATTTTAAAGCAGGTGTCAGCAAACAGCAACCTACGGGATACAGCCATCCCACTGCCTGTTTTTGTGTGGCCATCAGCTAAGAATGGTTATTAACGATAAACATTGCAGTCATTAATGATACAGAACACTGGCTTTGCAAAACTCCAGTTTAGCAAAATGGTATCCTTTGAAAAAAAAAATTCATTTTTCTCATTAGTAGACCTATGTTGCAAAAAAAAAGTCACAGTGAGTTATTATATTTTGAATTCTGTCAATAAAAAGTTTTACAAACATGTCTTTTCTTCTGTTAGACAAGTGCCTATGTAATAGTATCGATTTTATCTCTTAGCCCACAAAAGCTAAACCTTTACTCTCTGGCTTTCTATAGAAAGTTTGCTGATCCCTGTTTTAAAGGATGACTCCTGTGCACTGTGATGAGGGTAGACTATATGAGAAGCAAGAATGGAAATAAAGCGAACTTTTGGGAGACTGTTGCCTTAATCCAGGTGAGAGAGGAGGTGATAGTAATTTGGACCAGGTGGCAGTAGTGGGGATGATGAAAAGTGGTTAGATTCTAATGGTGTACTTAACAGCATTTCCTGACAGGTGGAATACAGTGTGTTAGAGAAGTAAAAAGTGACTCTGGGAATTTAGATCTAAAGGGCTGAAGATGGAAGGATGAAATCATCGCCACGTGGGAAAGCTGCAGGTAGAGCTCTTTTTGGGAAGGATGTTCAGTAGTTCATAGTTCAGTTGGAGATACCTAGTAAACATCCAAGTGAAGATGCCTAAATGAGTGTGGGGTTTATGAGGCCTGGGCTAGAGATACAAATACGGAAATTAAATGGCATTTTGAGCCATGAGACTGGAAAATTTTACCAAGGAGGAAAGTGTAGATGTTTACCCTATGTGATGTACTTTCTGAAATTTTCCCTTTTACTGATCTTGTTGTAAAAGTACTAATCAGGACCTGCTAAACTGTTTTCATGACCTACTGAGTCATGACCTGCAATTTGAAAAATAATGTTAATGGCTCACAGCGAAATGAATGTGACAATGAATTTATGTATGTTCATGTATAACTGAAAAATTGTGCTCTACACTGGAATTTGACAGCATTGTAAGATGACTGTAACTCAGTAAAAAAAAAAATGTTCATATAAAAGAAAAGAAAAGAAAAGAAAAATAATGTTGAAACTCTACAAGATCTGTGGATTCCCTGTACAGAATTTCCAAAAATGATGAAGAACTGCTGATGAAAACTTTGGATGATAAGAGTTTTCACAAGATAAATTGGTATAGCTTACTAACAGCAAAAAGGAATAATCCACAAGAATCCAAATTTGAAATTTTGGAGCGTGGAAAGGAATATAAATCAAAGAAGTGATTCACCTGGTTTTTTAATATTGAAGTTCCTCAAGACTCCAGCCTAGGCCCTCTTTCCTTTTCTCTTACCTTACCCTGCAGCCTCATTCACAACCATGACATCAGTTATCTCCTATACGCTGATTACCCTTCAAATTATATCTCCAGCCCTCACTTCTCCTCTGAATCCAGCTGACTATGTAAAGCCTCAAAGATACTCAGCATATCCAAAACCAGACTCCCTTTCTACTTCAGATCATCGTGAACCCTGAGTGAATTATACCATCATCCATCCAGTTACTACCCAGAAACCTAGGAGTCGTGCCTAATTTTTCCTTCTTCCTCACACCTCATATTAAATCCGTTTCCAAATTTTGTCCATTGTAGGATATGAACACTAGATTGCTTTCAAATTTGGCAAAAGGACTTCTGCTTCTGGGTAGCATGTAATAGGTTAGAACAGACAGTACTTGTTGCAACTAAAAAAGTTGATATTTTAATCATGTTTTTAAAGACATCATAGAGCAACAAGGACTAGATGAACTAAAATTCCAGAGAGGGAAGACTCCTTCCTAGGTGATCACTAGTTTCTTGGGGATAATTAAAGACTGAGGATCAGGCTGGCTTCAAGCACAGGGACTAGACTAGGGGAAACTGAAACCAGCAGACCTTATGGCAGTCATTTAGAGCTGATGTGATGGACTGAAAACTACAAGAGGCCCAAACTCAAGGCCCAAATTTAGAGTCAATTTGCCTTATGGGATATTTACTGAGTTCTCAGAAAATATAGATGGCCTACCAAAAATGCAGAATAAAATCTCCTGTGGTATTGCAATGCTGAGGGGCAAAATCCCACTAGTGGAAAGGGGCATGCAACAAACACACATACAAATCTAAGCTCAAAACATCCTGAGACCAAACCTTTCAGGCATGAGAAGACAGAGACCTTCCAGGCTCTCAACCAAAAGCTCGGGAGACTCACACCCAAGGAATAGGGAGAAACCAGATGTGTACTGAATTTTAATAAAACTACAGTAAAGACTAAAATTCTTAATATAGCCAGTAAGACATTGCAGTGTGACCACTGCCTATTTCTCTGGCCTGCTCTCTCCCCACACTCCCCTTTCAGCTGTACAGGCCTTCTTTTAGTTCTTGATACACACTAGGCTGCTGCTTGTCACAGGGCCTTTTTTGGGGGTGGTTCTTCCTGAAATGCCTTTGCTGTGCACTCCACCATGCCCTGAGACCTAGTTAACTTCTGCTCATCCTTCAACATCAGCCAGATCTTTCTCAGGAAAGCCTTCCTGACTCCCAGCTGGATCATCTATTTTTTTTTTGGATCATCTTCATTTTTTATGCATTTACAATAAATACAGCATACCTTTCCTTCTTATATTTGTGTAATCATTTGATTAATGTCTATCTCCACTACTAAACTGTAAGCTCCATGAGGGCAAGGACCATATCTGTATTTGTCTTTCTACAGACCAGAGTAGTGTAGTGTCCTCAACAAATATTGAATGACAGTTTGATAAAGCTCTTGTTCAGTGACTGGCACATATGAATGCTCAGTATGAGACAGGAATGAGAGCTTCACATGTACACATAAACACATACCTTTCAAGTTCAAGGTTGACGTGCTTATCTTCGTGTCAGTAACTATCATTGTGTCTGGTGCATAACAGGCACTTAGATTTTGGTTGGATAAATTAATAAGTTCAGTGTTGAGCCTTGCCGTTTCAGGTACTAGGTACAATTAGGGTTATACTTTTTTTTTTTTTGCTTGTTATTTTTTTGAATGTTAGTAAGATACAAATACATTCTCATTGCAAATGATTGCCACAGTGTTCAATAAAGTAAAACATGAAAGTTTCCCCCTTAGCCTTCTAACTCTCTTTCACAGAGAGAAATCACAGGTTATTAGAGCTTTCTAGTTCTTTTTTTACATATTCTTATGCGTTTGTA